TCTGGTGAGCATACACCCTATAGCAAAAATCTCTTTCTCTTAAAAAAAAAAAAAGAGAGAGAGAGAGATGCCCCAGTAACAGGGTTGCAGAAGATCACGCTGGGAGGGGGCAGGGCCCAGCTCCCAAAGCCTCCACCCAATTCCCTTCCGGCGTCTGCTCCTTCCCAGACGGGAGGGAATCCAGTTGGCCTTCTGTCTTTCAGTCCCCGCCTAGCCCAGACCACTGGAAGTTCTTTCGGGGGTCAGCCCTCCATCCCGCCTACCTCACAGACTTCCCTCCTCATTGGTCTCAGGGGGCGTTCTAGCAAAGGAGGCTTCAGGGGAGACAGCTCCTTAGTGTGGGGGCTTAGGAAGACAAGGCAGTCTGAACATGGTGTCAGGCCGTCTCCCCCGAGGTCAGGATTGTCAGGACGGCCATGGAAGAGGGCTTCTCAGGCGTCGTGACAGAGACCCTGTCCCTTGCTCATTTGCGTGGACGTTTGTGTGTTCATTTGCGTCCTCACTGGCAGAGTGGATCTGCATGGGCCAGGCTGGTACCAGGTGTCTCCCCTACATCCATGCAGTCCCCTGGGGAGAGGGACACCCAGAGAAGCTGGCCACAGAGGGGCACTGGCGCCGGCCGACTCCCTGACCCTAGCTGGGGAAATGGGCTCAGTGGTGCCAGCGTGAAGCTGGGCCAGGGGGCCGAGCAGGGACTCAGGGGCTCGCGTGCCCCTACCGGGCTCTCCCCACGTCTGGGGCCCCTCCTCCTCCCCACATGTGGATCCAGGAGCCACAGAAGGTGGGACGCTGGTAGGAGGAGGAAGAATATGGGGAGATTCTAGTCCCTCCCACTTAGAGATGCGGTCGCCATGGTGACTGAGGACCAGTGAGATGGGATGGGGTTGGGGATGGGGGTGGGGGTGTGGCAGGGAGGCACTGGGAGACTGAGCCTCTGGCATTCCAGGGGAAAGGAAGCACGGAGCATCCCCAGCTCCAGGTAAGGGAGCCTCGGCGAGATGACAGCCTGTCTGGAAGGAGGGGGCGGGCCATTGTCTGGCTGCGCTCTGCCCCAGGAGGGGGCAGGCAGAGGGGTCGGGCCATTGTGTGGCCAGCCCGGAGGAGGAGACCTAGGCTGCGCCGGGTAAGGGCTGGGGAGCCGGGCTGGGCTGGTGGCAAAAAGGCGGGGAGACGGGAGTGGGAAGAGGAGGGGGGTCCTGGGGGTGTAGAGGCTTGGGGACATCCCAGTGCCTGCTCGCTGTAGGTACTCGGTACACAGAAGTTGGTTGGACTTGCTTGTGACCGTAAGAACAGAGTAGCCAGGAGCCAGGGCAGGCAGGCGGGGCTCAGGAGGGGGACAGGAAGCATTTGTTCCAGGACTGTGCTCTTCTGAGGGCTCCCCTGAGGCTGGGAGGGAGAAGGGGGCGGGAATAGGGCCCTCCAGGTCATTGGTAAAGCCAGGAGCCCCTCCCTCAGTGAAGCTTCCTGCGCTAAGGGGGCTCAGAAGAGACAGAGCGCCGGGTCGGGTCGGGGTGGGAAGCAATCTCTCCATTCCCTCCAACCTCCCCTCCCACCTCCACCCCCACAGCTAGATTTGTCTCTGGGCTTAGAAGCCTAGCAGGTAGGGGCTGTGGGCGACGAGCCCCAGGCGAATCCGGGCTCTGGCAGGGAAGAGGTTGAACTTAACATTGTTGTTCTGGGCTGGGGGGGCGGTGGGGGGTCCCCAGGTTGGGCTCCAGAAATGTGCTAGGAGATCCCCAGATTTGGCTGTGAAGCAGGCTGGGCCCTGTGGCCTGGTCCCTGACATCTGACCCCTTCCCACTGCTACCCCACCTGACCTACTGCCCGCCGCCAATCCGGCCAATCCCGGCCAAGGTACTTCCCTCCCTGGCCTTCATTTCCTCCTTCGTACAGTAAGGGAGGGGGTGGGACAGGCGGCTCTGAGCTTTCTTGACTGCTGTGGGCAAGACCTGGTGCATAATTTGTGGGGCCCAGTGCAAGATGAAAATGTGGGGCCCCTCGTTTAAAATGATTCAGATGTTGGAGACGGCAACGGCAGAGCATTAAACCGAGCATGGGCTGGCTCTTCTGAGCACAGGGCCGTGTGCCACCGCACAGGTCATGCCCCATGAAGCCAGCCCTGGCTGTGGGCTCTGCTGGCTGCAGCAGGACATGGCAGTGAGACCAGGATCTGCCCCAGAGGCTCATGGCCGAGGGGCAGGGTGTCCCTCCTCCCATGACCAGAAGGCCCTTGCAGAGACAGTGGGTGACAGCTGATAGCCTTTTCTTCAGGGAGGTTTCCATTCCTTCTGAGTCGGAAATCACTCCAGAGCTTTCTGGTTTTCTTTATTTTTGTTCCCCTTTGCTTTTTGCTATAGGGTGTGTGCAGTCACCAGAGAGAGACAGAGACAGTGAGAAATAACCTGGCCATGCCACAGTCCCTTCTCCTCCATTCTCCTCTCGGGACTTTGGGCAGGCACACACATACACCTGACGTGACTTTTTTCTTTTTTTTTTTAAGAAAGGGTTTTTTGTTTGTTTGTTTGTTTGTTTTTGCTATAGGGCAGGTGCACTCCCCAGAGAGACAGAGAAAGTGAGAAATCACCCTCCCCCGCCCAGGGGATGGCCACAATCCCTTCTCCCCTATTCTTTCTCGGGTTTTGGGCACACATGAATAGGTACCCTGGGATTTGAACCAGTAATTAGTTTTCGAATGAGGCCTATTGGATTTAACGTGGCTTTTAGCTGTGTAACCTCCCTAGGCCTCACTTTCCTCACCTGTATAATGGGATTAAGGGGGTACCTACATGTGAACACCATTGGAAAGACCGAAGCCTGACAGTGCCAACTCCAAACCGACTGTGGGGCGGAGGTCTGGGGCTGAAGAACCCTGGGTCTTTGGAGGAGGGAGGGCGTTGAGTCTACCACTTCCAGAGGTGGGACTAGGGCATAGGGCATCAGCTGGGAGGCTAGGGTGGGGCACCTCCCTTCCTATCAGCACTCCTCCCAGTGACCCAGATAAGCCAACCTGTCCCAGCAGAGAGGCCCAGCAGAGAACTGCTCAGATCTGAGTGGGGCTGGGAAGGCCCAGGTGAGGCCTGGTAAGTGGGAGTTTCCCCTGATTCTGAGAACACGGAAGGCACCTGGCAGCCCGCCTTCAGGAGAGCCCTGAGAGCCTTCTGCAAGTCCTGACAGACACAGTGTCAGCAGGGCTCTGTCTGAGACAAGCCCTGGGGAAATGGAGACCTAAGGGGAGCAGAGGGAGAAGAAAGACTTCTAGCAGTCTTTGGCCAGGAAGTGTACGGAGCAGCCCGGCTGCACCATCACTCTTACCGGCCAGTGCAACAGCAGGAGGGATGGAAGTTACACGACAGGAAAGACTTTCTGAAGGTGAGGACGTCCGTTTAAGATGGAGGTGGGTTATTTATTGACTCTGGTTAGCCCTGGGAGGTCTACACTCATTAATCTGCAGTCTGCTGACCCGGATGAGTGGGCAGAGACCCACTCGCTTTATGGCCATGGAGCCTTCAGCCCTGGCTGCCTCATTAACCCGCATTATGAGGTTCCCCTGGAGCCCAGAGAGGGGTGAGCAGCCACTCATTAAGCACAGGAAACGCCAAGGTGATGCACCCTAAGAGCAGAGGTCAGGCTAAAGGAGGGACCGACCCCTTATCAAAGTCACGGACAAGAGCCTAATATGACTGTTTTATTTTTAAAAGATTATGGCCCAGCTGAAAGTGGGAGGTTTGAAGGTTAGACCACTGCAGGGACTTCCCAGGAGGTAGGAGTGGAGAGACCCCACCTTGTGGGTAAGTGGAAAGAGGAATATGAAGACTGTCTCAGGTCGCCTTTGGGAAATGTTGAGTAGGAGGAGCGACCGCCAGGCTGGTTCGACAGGCTGTGACATGTCAGAAAGGCAGGGACGTCCCTGAAATGACCTGGAGGGGCCTTGGAAACTTGCTGGATAAACTGAGGCAAGAGGAGGGAGAGAAGGAGGGGCGTGTCCCCTGCCAGGCAGGCGAGCCGCTCTTTTCTCCCTCCCAGTCCACCAACTTCCGCCCAAGCCAGGATCTGCCACAACTCGAGAGGTGGAAATTCTGGTTTCCCAGGCCCAGAGCTCCCAGTGCCCATCCGGCACAATGGGCACCGGGAGGGCCGCGCTCCCTTCCAGCCGGGCTGAACCTTCCGTCCCCTGCTGGGGCCTGGGAAGCCCCTGGTTCTTTCTCTTTCTCTTGGATGGCACCCTTGCCTCAGAGTCCAGACACTGGGGTTTCCCACTGTGGCGGATTCGAGCGCACATGAGGTGAGACGGGTGTCTCGGGGTTGGTGTTCTTGGGGAGATTGTGCAGAAAGCCAGGGAGTGGGCAGCCACCCCTGCCCAGGCGACTCCCCAGACCTGCTGATAGCAGCCAGGCTGGGTGGACTCACATGGCCTCCCCAGAAGAAGGAGGCCTGTGACCAGACCCTCACAGACCCTGAGCTCAGAGGGTGCTGGAGGAGAGGTTAGAGCAGGCTGCCTCCCACCCTGTTGCCAGCCTGGTCCGGTAGGAGGCACCCGCACCCAGGGAGGCCTCAGTAATTTCTGTTTCTAATACAGGAACCAGCTCCCCAGCAAGCCCCCTGCCTGGGGCCAGATGAGTGGGCAGAACCCACTGTTTGCGCTTCAGGCTATGGGAAGAAGGGAAGCAAAAGAGGAAGGCAGAAAGGACTTGCCTGGGACTTAGGCAGGGCGGGGTGGGGGGGACACTGGGGAGAAGAGATCGGAGGGGAGCCAAGGAGGCGCCTAGGTTCCTGCCCGGAGAGGAAGGTGGCGCAACAGGCCGGGCCCACGGGCTGCTGGAGGTGCGACGCAGAGGGCATCTTCCAGATAGGGAACTGACCCTCCCTGCGTGTGCCCCCCCACTTCTGCCGCTGGGGCTCTCTGATTGGTCCCCAAGGGGGATGTGGTAAGGACTGTTCACCCAGAAAGTGCCCGGGTGCCTGTTTCCCCAGAGCCATCTGGTGACAGCCTCTGGCTGAGCATGGCCCTCCCAGCCCTGGGCCTGGACCCTTGGAGCCTCCTGGGCCTTTTCCTCTTCCAAGTGCTCCTGCTGCTGCTGCCGACGCCGACCGCGGGGGGTGGTGGGCAGGGGCCCATGCCCAGGGTCAAATACCCTGCAGGTAAGTGCCTGATGGCCAGGGTGGGGGTGGCAGCCTGCACTGACTACCCCTGCCGCTGACGGGGTGGAGGAAGGAAGGACAGGGGTGGAAGGACAGGGGCGACAGCCAGAAGTAGACATTCAAACCGAGTGGAAACCCACTTGAGGCACGAGATTGAGGAAAGGGAACGGTGCGCCCGGGGCACCAGCCCGTCCTGTTCTCCAGGGCTGGTGATTTTCCTTCCCTCCCAAGCTGGCGACTTCAAACCCCTAACTGGTTTCACACCGCCAAGCAGCCCCAAGTCGAGGCCAGTGCTAAAGAGCATCTGAGGACCTGGTGACCAAGGGCACTCCAGGACCACGTCTCCGCCTCCAGGTCGTGCAGGGCTACACCACGTCCTGTCCCGAGGCAGCAGGGCGAGCACTGAGGGGCCCGGCGGGGCGCACATGCAGCCCAGCTGGCCTCTCAGGGAGGCTGTGCGGCCGCCGGCTCACGCACCTCCGGGGAGGCGACTCGGGAAGGACACGGGCACTGTTGGGTTGCGGCAGCAGGTCTGGGGCACAGCCGTGTCTGTGGCACCTCTCTGGGGAGGTGGGTGAAGGAAATGTGTGTCGCTCACTGATGGAGAGGCCCCTCCTTATTGGGTGCTGGGACTGTCCGTGGGGACGGAGCTCAGCCCTGGCCCTCAGGTGCCCACAGTCTGGAGGTGGTCAGGTGGACACCCAGTCGTACTGCAGGGCAGTCACGGAGGGGTCCATGGAGTTCTGGGGGAGGCCTAGCCTGGGGAGGCAGCAGCTCTCACGCAGGCCAGCCCTCCCGCAGGCCAGCCCTTCCGGCACCATGCAACCCCTATTTCTCCATCCCCTCGGTGCTGGCTAAGAGTCCCTGAGCCTGCACCGCTACCTGTGGTAACTATGGGTAACCGCTGGTGACCTGTCAACTAGGTGGCCCTCTCGCTAAAGCAGAAGTGCCGGTGGGCTAACGAGAGGGGATTGGAGGAGCTCCTTCCCCCTTACCAATGTGTCCAGGGCTTAGGGACACACATGCACACGCACACACACACACACACACACACAGCCCACACCACACCACACCACATCACACCACGCCAAGGGGAGAGACCACCCTAGGTGAGCCTCCCCTGACCAGCTCCGCTCCCGGCCCGGTGCCATCCAGGCAGACCCGCACGGTCCTTGAAGAAGGCTGGAGGCTCTTTTCTGTTAGCAGAGACTCTAGTGGTGGAAATTTCCTGTAACAGAGGAGGGGAAGGGAGCAGGGGTGGTGGCAGGGCGGTGAGGGGAACCCTTAATACCCACAACTACTCTCCGTCTAGCTTTTGGGCTTGTGACTGCCAACACCTTCCTGTCGATCTGCCGGCTGGGTCCCCACCCAGTGGGGGCCGCGGTGCTCTTCCCCACCCCCAACCAAAAGCATACACGTGCCTCGCTTCATTTCCTGTCCCTTAGTCTTGGGTGCAGGTCACCCTCTTCCAGCCTCAGCCTGTCATCACTGTCTCTAGGCCGCCTCTTCTCTCTACCGCGGGCTTAGCACAAAGCTCCTTGGCCGCAGCAGGGTGGGGCCCGGGGAGCTGCTGTGGACAAGGGTGGGTCTAGCAGCCAATGCCTGGGAGCCTCCACCAGCCCTTCTCAGGGACCAGCTGCCTGCCCAGTAGTCCTTATTCTCTCCTCTCACACCTCCAACAGGGGACGGACGCAGGGCACTCAGCTTCTTCCACCAGAGAGGCCTCCAGGATTTTGACACTCTGCTCCTGAGCGATGATGGAAACACTCTCTATGTGGGGGCTCGAGAGACCATTCTGGCCTTGAGTATCCAGGATCCAGGGATCCTGAAGCTAAAGAACATGGTGAGGAGGCCAAGGGGTGTGGGCTGGGAGTAAGGAGGGGCCAGGCGTCGCCCCGCGGCTGGGCTGCCTGTGTCTGAGTAACAGGTAGTCCCCCTGTCGTCTTCAGCCAGCAACGTGCAGTTCTTGTTATTTATATCTCGACAGAGTGACAGACAGGAAATGTTGCTGTGACCTCATTTTTCACTGGTATCGCAGATGTTGGCTGCATAATAGCCACTGTTAAAATGGCCGGCATGGAAAGCATTGACAAGCCAGACAAACATTGGCTGGAATTCTATCAATAATCTAATGTCTGCCCCCAGTAGAAATCCCTGCTGATAGGAGCAAGGTGGGAGAAGGAGCTGGCGACTGCTGCTCGCGCCTCGGTCGGTGCTCCTCAGTGTGTGCTCTTGGTCACCTGCATACCCTGGGTGTGGAGGAAAGGCAGAGTCTCTGAAGAACTGATGTGTCTAACGATTTCCCCAGGAAACGTGTGGTTTGATACCGCTGCTGGGCCTGCTGGCATTGCGCTAGGTGCTGTGCATGTGCCACCTAGTGTGTCCTCCAGCAGCCTTGGAAACTGACCAAGATTGCTCAGATTTAAACTCAGGCCTTGGGGACTAGCAGGTGGCATGGTGGTTAAGGCACTGGACACTCCCACCTGACTGACCACCATTCAAATCCCAGACATGGTAGCTTGCTTTCTCACTTTCCCTCTCTCTCTCTTTCTGTATCTCTCTATGATCAAATTAAAATAAATGAATGAATAAATGCAATTAAGTAAATAATTCCTTAAAAAAAAAACAAAAACAAGGGACCAGCAGTTGGCATAACGGCCATGTTGCTGGACTCCCATGTAGTTGACCATGGTTCGAGTCCCAGACCCGGTGGCTTAAGACTCACGCCAGGCGCATGTGTATGCGTGCCCAAGATCCCGAGAGGAGAATGGAGGAGAAGGGATTGCGGCGTGACCATCCCCCCTGGGGGGTGATTTCTCGCTTTCTGCCTCTATGTCTCTCTCTGTCTGTCTGGCGAGCGCACGCGCCCTGTAGCGAAAACCTCTCCAAAAAAATAAAAATAAAAAAAACAAACAAAAACAAAACGTGGATCTGCCCCACTCCTTGGCTCTGCTCTACCATGGCGCTGTGTCCTGAGGAATATCGGTGTCATCAGGGTAACAGCCATGGTCACAAACTGATGTTATCACCATGCAGCAGCACGTCCTAACCCCCACGCCTGCTGGTGATTTCATGCCAGAGCCAAGGAGGGGCTGGCAGGTCACAGACAGAGTTGTAACCTCATTCCCCTTCATCTCCTGCCTCTTCACTCCCATTTCAGATACCTTGGCCAGCCAGCGAGTTTAAAAAGGCTGAATGTGCCTTTAAGAGGAAGAGCACGGAGGTAAGTGGGGGCCCTAAGTAGGGAGCTCTGATGTCCCTACACCCTCACTGGGTGGCCTCAGGCAGGCAGGCAGTGGGAGGTGCTGGTTTGCAAGATTACTGCCCAGACTGAGTTCTGTAAATATGTATAGGGACCAGCAGGTGGTGTGGTGGTTAAGGAGGCTGGATCCCACATGGATGACTGGGTGGTTCCACACCTAGACTAGGTCGCTTGAAAAAAAAAAAAAAAGAAAAGAAAAACACAACACACTAGGAGTGTGCATGTGCATGCCCAAAATCCTGAGAGGAGAACGGGGAAGGGATAGCATTGTGGCCATCCCCCGGGGGTGCTTTCTCACCTTCCCTCTGTTTCTCTCCAGCAAATGCACACAACCTATAGCAAGTTAAAAAAAAAAAAAAAAAAAAGGGGGGGGCAACCGGGGCGCTGGGGGGAAAAAAAAGTGAGGGGCCAGCAGGTGGCATGGTGGTTAAAGTGGTGGTGGTTGACCTGTGGTTCGAGTTCCAGACCTGGTGCCTTGAAAATTATGCTCAATACGTACAGCACACAAAATCCCAAGAGGAGACTGGAAGAGAAGAGATTGCTGTGTGGCCATGGCCCTGAGGGGTGATTTCTTACTTCCCCTCTCAGCCTCTTGCTCTATTTCTCTCTAGTGAGCACACGTGCCCTATAGCAAAATAAACAGACAAAAACTTTTAAAAAGTGTATAGGGACTGCCTTGCATGCCCAGGCTTTTTCCCCACTAGGAAGTGAGGAGCAGCCTCTGGGAGCCCAGGAGTCTGGGGCAAGTGGCCTCAAAGCCTGAATGCTCTGTCTTCCCCAGACACAGTGCTTCAACTTCATTCGCGTCCTGGTCTCTTTGAATGCCACCCATCTCTACACCTGCGGCACCTTTGCCTTCAGCCCTGTTTGCGCCTTCATTGTGAGTTACCTGGGACCCAGCTCTCTGGCCCACATGCAGCCCTCCTCACGTCTCCCTCCAGCCTCTTCTCTGTAGCTTTGGAAAACTTGGGTCTTCCAGACTCAGGCCCTTCATGAGCTTCCTGGCCCCAGAACAGTTTCCTTCCATGTCCTGTTTCCTTCCTCCCTCACGCTCCTCATTTCCCGGATGTGAGACCCTGGCGTTCTGGTCCCCCAGCCTCACCCCCCCTTTAGGAACTCCAAGATTCCTACCTGTTGCCCATCTCGGAGGACAAGGTGCTGGACGGGAAAGGCCAAAGCCCCTTCGACCCTGCCCATAAGCACACGGCTGTCTTGGTGGGTGAGTATCAGGCTTTCTGCTCAGCCCTGTCTGCTTTCTGTAGTCACTCTCAAATATGAGAGATGACAGCTTCCTAAAAGGCAGGGAACAGAGAGAGGGTAAGATGAGAGGGAGACCCAGGCACCCCAACCACCAAGTCCTGCTGGAACAGCCACAGAGGAGGTGGAGAGATGGGTGCCAACAGACACAGAGGCATGAGGGTCCAGGAAGGGTCTCAGGTGGAGAAGAGGCCCGAGATTCCGCCGTGGGCTCAGCAAATCCACATGTGTGCACCCCTCCCCTGTGTGCCAGGCATCGTGTTAGTACTGTAGGGAGTGCAGAGAGGAGGCCACAGCCCCATGCCCTCCTGGACACAGACCATTACAGCCTCCCTGCCCTGCGTCCTGGAAGAGGTGACCTTTTGCTTTTGAGCAGGAATTATTGATGGGCAGGGAAGGTGTTCCAGGAATAGAAGGGTAGCCCCTAGGCTTGTGAGCAGAAAACACACACCTTCCTTCCGGGATCAGCCCGTGAGTCTGCTGTGCCAGTGAGTCAGCTGGGTGTGTGCTGGAATGGCCAGAGAAAGGCTGGCAAAGTGCCAAACACCAAGGGCCACCTGGGTTGGCCATTTCCTGTGGACACAGGAGACTAAGAAGGGTGCTCAGTGTGGGGGTGGAGGGTGACCTGGAGCAGAAGGGTAACAGGGACCAGAGACTGATAGGAATGCAGGCCCCAGAGGCATTCAGGCCCCAGGTCTGAGGGGGCCAGGGGACCCCTCCATCTCCTAAGTTCTCTCCTCCCCTCTCCCCACCTAGATGGGATGCTCTATTCCGGCACCATGAACAATTTCCTGGGCAGTGAGCCCATCCTGATGCGCTCGCTGGGATCCAAGCCCGTCCTCAAGACAGACACCTTCCTTCGCTGGCTGCATCGTAAGGACCTGACCCCCAGCCGGCACGGGTCTGGCCCCCTTCCCAAGCCTGAGTCTCGGTCCCCCGGCACTGCGAACTGCTGTTCACGCACTCAAATCCCATTTGTTGAGGGTCTGCTGCATGCATTATTGCTAGACACTGGGGGTAGAGCAAGGGAGAACCCTTGCAGCTTTCATCTTACGTGAATATATTAAAAAGCTGCCAGTCCACGCCTACCCTCAGCTCCCCATCTTCATCATGTGACAAGCTCTCAAGGCCTCCGGAGCCAACCCAAGGGTTTTCACCAAAGGGTACCAAGGCACCCAGGTGCTCGGTTCCTAAGCCCATCTCCCCTGGCCCCACAGCGGACGCCTCCTTCGTGGCAGCCATCCCTTCCAGCAAGGTCGTCTACTTCTTCTTTGAGGAGACAGCCAGCGAGTTTGACTTCTTCTTCGAGAAGCTCCATACCTCCCGGGTGGCTCGAGTCTGCAAGGTCTGAGAGCTGGGTGGGAGGCGGGGCTGACAGTACAGGAGCCAATGGAGAGGTGGTGGAGGCGGGGCTAAGCACTTGAGGTCCAATAGGAACGGGGAGAGGTGGGGCGGAGGCGGGTTCTCGCGGGATAGGGTGCGCTCTCTGACTCTGCCCGCGCCCCTAGAATGACGTGGGCGGTGAAAAACTGCTGCAGAAGAAGTGGACCACCTTCCTGAAGGCCCAGCTGCTCTGCGTCCAGCCGGGACAGCTGCCCTTCAACATCATTCGCCATGCTGTCCTACTGCCCGCGGAGTCCCCCGACGTTCCCCGCATCTACGCAGCCTTCACCTCCCAGTGGTGAGCAGCAGGGCGACAACCTGAGGGCTCGACACCGGATCTGAGGCTACTGTGGCCTTGGCTTCCGAAGGGAGCCGGAAACGGTGTGAGCCAAGCGCACACCCGCACTTTACATAGGAAGGCATTTATCTCCACCTCCTAGGGATTTGGCTCTGGCCCTTCATGTAGCCCAGGGAGGTTCTGACTAGTTTTTAATCCTATCCTGGCTCCAAAGAGGATAGCGGGCAGTTTACAGAAGGCAAGCATTACAATCAATAAAATAGACAAGGAAATGAGACCAAAAGGAGCAAAAGCGAAGCCAGGGAGAGTCTGCCTTCCATAGCTCACCACGATGTGCTATATAGTTCCTGGATGCCAGCTACAGATGCTGCTCAGAGCTTCCTAATGACCAGGGCAGCTACCAGAGGTATCTAGAATATCCCCCAGTCCAGAGCTGAGAACCTGATGCGTACAATTGTCATGTTAATGAGTGAGAGACAGGGGCCTGCAAGTGGCATGGTGGTTAAGGTACTGGACCTTCACATAGCCGACTGTGGTTTGAGTCTCAGACCTGGTGGCATGCTCTCTCATTTTCCCTTTCTCTCTCTTGCAGTCCCTCTCTGGTCAAATTAGTAAAAGAATAACAACAACAGATAAAACTAAATAAATATTTTTTTAAAAAAATAAAAGAGTGAGAGAGACAGACCTGTCACCACAGACCAGGGTTGAAGGAATAAAAATAGTTTGGTAGTCTGGGTCTGCTCAGTTCTTTTTTTCTTTTTTCTTTCTTTTTTTTTTTTTTTTTTTTGCTCTAGAGTGCATGTGCTCGCCGGAAAGACAGAGAGAGACAGAAAGCGAGACATCTCCCCTAGGGAGGATGGCCACACCACAATCTCTTCTCCTCCATTCTCCTCTTGTGATCTTGAGCATGCATGCACACATGCCTGGCGTGAGTTTAAGCCACCGGGTCTGGGTCTTGAATTGCAGTTGACCACATAGCCATTATGCCATCTGCTGGTCCCTCTGCTCAGTTCTTTGAGGACCCAAAGGAGGAGGGCTTCATGCCAGCCAGCTTGGAGCCAGTTACACGCCCCTTCCATGGGTGTGGTCTTGTCTAGGCAGGACAAGCGGGAGTCACCCCAGGGCCTGAGCCCCAATTAATTCTCGTTAAGGATAATCACGCTTCAGACCCCAAGATGGGCTTAGAGCCAGGCCTTGGGCAGGAATCAGGGTACTCCACAGCTGCCTGGTCCTTATCACTACAACAAAGCAATGAGAGGCAGAGAGGCTGGCCCACACCTGCCCTCTGGGGTTTCTCGCAGAGAAAGTGGCATGCAAAGACCACACACAAAGTCCTCCCTCGCTGTCTCCAGGCAGGTCGGCGGGACCAGGAGTTCTGCGGTCTGTGCCTTCTCCCTTGCAGACATTGAGCGTGTCTTCGAGGGGAAGTACAAGGAGCTGAACAAAGAGACATCACGCTGGACTACGTACAGGGGCCCCGAGACCAACCCGCGGCCAGGCAGTGTGAGTACCCCACAGCGAGCGGAGCCGTCCACAGACACACGTGGCATGGGTGTAAAAGCACTTGGGAAAGCGTAATAAATGCCCCCATAAATATCAGTTCTCCTCCCTACCCACAGTCCTCTCTGCTCAGACGTACACCTGCTCCAGCTGCGTATATTCCACAGGTGGCCAACACAGTCCTGCCTGCAGATTGCCAGGCCACCTCCCTTTCAAGGCTAAATATACCGGGACCAGCAGTTAGCGTAATGGTCATGTCGCGGGACTCCCACGTAGTCGACCATGGTTCAAATCCCAGACCTGGTGGCTTAAACTCATGCCGGGCACATGTGCGTGTATGCCCAAGATCCCAAGAAGAGAATAGAGGAGAAGGAATTGTGGCGTGACCATCCCCTCTGGGAGGTGATTTCTCACTTCCTGTCTCTCTGTCTCTCTCTCTGTATGTCTGGCAAGCGCACGTGCCCTATAGCAAAAACCTCTCAAAAAACAAACAAAAAAAAGGCTAAATACACCAAGTATCTGAGTGTGTCACTGTGGACACAAGGCAGCATGGGTTGTGTGCCCCAGACTGTCTTGGGCATCTGTACCTGCATTTCTTATTTAACTTTTTGGTTTTTAAAAAAGATTATTTATTTCATTTTGTTTTCATTCACTTATTTTTAATTAGGCCAGAGAGAGACACACAGAGAGAGAAGGAAAGTGGGAAAGCAGTCTGGGACTCAAACCGTGGTTGGCCATGTGGGAGTATCCAGCGCCTTACACACCATACCACCTGCTGGCCCCTAGCTTTTTTGGTTTTTAATCAGATTAATATATGTACATAACTTAAAGAATCAAATAGATTGGCATGGAGGTTAAGGCACTAGGTCCCACATGGCAGATCACAGTTCAAGTCCTGGACCTGGCATCTTGAAAAACATGACAGGCGTGTGTGTGTGCACGCCCATAATTCTAGGAGGAGAATGGAGGAGAAAGGATTGAGGGTGGCCAAACACCATGGGAGGTGATTTCTCCCTTTCTCTCTCTCTCTGCCCTATGGCAAAAAAAAACTTATTAAAAAAACACAAACAAACAAGATTGGGGCCAGCAGGTGGCATGGAGGTTAAGGTACTGGATCCCACGTGGCCAGCTGCTCAATTTGAGTCCTTAACCTGGTGGGTCAAAAATCATGTATGTGTGCGTGCTCAAAATCCCAAGAGGAGACTAGAGGAGAAGGGATTGCTGTGTGACCATCCCCACCTGGGATTGCAGGTGTATGTCTGAGCAGACTGGATGGTGGTGTGAGTGGAACACTAATATTTAGTGGGCATTTCCTGTGCTTTTACACACATATTACAACCCCTGGGGGGTGGTCTCTCTCTCTCTCTCTCTCTTTCTCTGGCAAGCATAAGTACCCTATAGCAAATAACTAAAAGAAAACGCAGAGAAAAGGGAAAAAGAAATAGATCGACAAGGCTGATTACAAGGCACCAGTCCCATTCCCTAT